ATTCGAGAAGATGGCTCACTGAGGAAGATCTGGCTCGACACGAAGGCGAAGACGCAACGTCGAGGCGAACAACAAGCATGGACCATCGACTCGGATCACCGGCTCTGAGGAAGACGAAGACGTCGAAACGTTAGCCGAAAATAAGTATATTTATCAACCTCGTGCAAGCTTATCAAGAATGAATACATATTAATTAGTCACACCGAGGTTTAGGGAAGGTCGGTTTCGAAAAAAAAAACAACAAATTGCGTAATTTGCCCTTACGGCAGGGACGGCGATTGCATGAGTTCAGGTACGATATACCTGATCTCTTGTAATAATTGCGGAGATGAATATATTGGCGAAGAGGGCAGACCTTTGTGTATCCGTATAAAAGAACACCTAGATGGCAAACGAAAACTAAGACGAAGCACCCCACTAGGCACGTATAGGATACAAAAGCATAGCGGAGACGATTTTGAAGTAAAAGTCAATATCTTTGCACAGGAGTCCAAAACACCAGCGCGAAAACTCCTTGAGGCTTTTTCGATAAATGCCAAAAACCCTACAATGAATAGCAGGGATGAATGCGCGGAGGTCATACGNTAATTGCGGAGATGAATATATTGGCGAAGAGGGCAGACCTTTGTGTATCCGTATAAAAGAACACCTAGATGGCAAACGAAAACTAAGACGAAGCACCCCACTAGGCACGTATAGGATACAAAAGCATAGCGGAGACGATTTTGAAGTAAAAGTCAATATCTTTGCACAGGAGTCCAAAACACCAGCGCGAAAACTCCTTGAGGCTTTTTCGATAAATGCCAAAAACCCTACAATGAATAGCAGGGATGAATGCGCGGAGGTCATACGCGACCTGACCCCGTATGTTCGCATCAATTTCTGGTGTGGGATGGTGCAGTCGTCAACAACATGCGACTATAATCAGCTGTTCTAAACTTCCTCATTGGAAGTCACGAAAAAGCGGTGGGTTCTTTCGAGAAGTTGTTGATCATGTAATTACCAAAGAGTCTTTCGTCTTTTTGTAAGTGTTATTGAAGCGTTTGGCCTAGCTGATTGTATATCAGTCTACCCTTCCAAGCTCTGAAGAAGGCGGTAATGCCGAAACGTCAGCTACTGTTGTATTGTATTGTGTTTTTTTATGGAAGTAAATGTATGCTGTTTAGAAGCCTCGCGATTGCTGAACAAGAGAACGAAAAATTGTAAAATTTCTTCCACTCGTAGTGTTGTGTATAACGTCGTCGGCCATCACATGATAAACCGTTAATCATCAAGAGACGCTCAGTTAGTCCCCTCTTTTCAGAGGCCACATCCGTCAATATGCTACCACGGCGATGCTTTATCATGAATATATTTCCTTACAGGTGTACATTCGCTCAACAGATTCGGATCGAGCGCTTACTTCAGCGCAGGCTTTCTTATCTGGATTTTATCCAGCTAAAGGTAGCTTTGAATGGGAACGTGGAAATCACTGGCAACCGATACCGATTCACTCCACAACGCCTGATGAACCAGACTTGGTGAGTGCAAACCAAAAATGTTTTGTTCAATTGTATAAATTCATGTAACAAAGAGAAACGAAGTACCTCATTTTTGCTTAAACCACATGATTCGATCTTATCTCGAGAAGCAAATGTGTTCTAACTCTCGAATAGAGCCAGTAGTTGAAACACCTGCAAATGACACAGTAGTTATTTGCTCATCTGTAAATGTGGTAAAGATTGTTACGAGCTGAACAAACGTTTATAGGTTCAGCGAATTCACAAAAAACCAATCTTTGGTTTGAAATCTATGGTAACAATTCGGTTAAGCCTTGGCATGAAAAAAAATCTTAGTGTACACAATGCGCAGGAAAATAAAACAGTGTAGTAAAACGAAATTGTAATAGTGCGCAGTTACAGTAACGGTTCACGTATTTTTATACTACTAACTACTTTCTAGGACACGTGTAGCGCAGAAATTATAGGCGCCTTTCAACACACATGGGATCGATCTCACACCCAAAGCTCATCGAACTATCCCTACGCAGAAGGCAAATTAGTGCCATACTTTTCCCACTGACCCGATAAATCGGTAGGCCACTGCCAGTCACTGTATAGGCCAGATATGCATTCTGCCACTTTTAACGATGCCTAATGTAGCCCATTGCATGGCGCATCCCTCAAGGGAACGCCGACACCGAAAATTTTTCTTTAAATTATTTCCTGCGCTAATATACAAGTAGGTCGAATCTCCTACTGCGAAATTAACAATTGGACTAGGCAGATTATTAAATAACCTTTGATACCTTTTACAACGTCAACATCACACAAATTTGCATGCAGAACTGTCTCAGCGAAAGAAGGATTCAAGAGGTGATTGTTGATGGGATAAAATTCTGTTCCCAGTATATATTCTACTGTTGGTTAATATTGTAAACTTTTAATTGTACTATACTGCTAATATTGTGTTATTATTGTATAATGTTACATTGTATACACATCCGACATTAATTCGACTACTGATTGCTATTCACAGTCTCCCACTAATTCCTTTTTCTTCTTTCTTGTCAGTACCGTAACAAAGCGCCGAATATCCAACCCATTGAATTCAGCTAGAGCAAACTAACCAAATAATCCAACGAAGAACGATCAATTACGATAATGATAATAGAAAAGATCTGAAAAGAAAAATATTTTGTAAAAGAAGCCAACATTTTAGTGAAATAATGTTTTCTATTAACAAAGTAAGAATGCTGTTACTTTCTTTCTATCCAGTTACTGAAACCTACATCCGCTGACTGCAAAAACTTGGACAAATTGGTGGACGAAGAAGACGCAAAACAGGCGAAATATTATGGAGAGCTATACAAAGATATGTTCAAGTTGCTCGGAGAACGAACTGGCATCGCGAACTTTTCCTATGACAACGTTAATGACATATACAACATAAAAAGAGAGGTTGGTGGATAGAAATGATGAATGATAACGTTTACTCTCTTTTCATCATTAAAAAGTAGGACAAATAAACAGGAAGCGCTTTTATAATTTTCATGTGCGCATCAATGGCTTGCATCGGATCCTATACGATGCATTCCCAGAGGCTTTCCTTATCACGTATAATTTTCTTATCACTTTTCTTCCATTCGCAACTTGTGAACACAGATGTTAGGTTATGCGTAGCTCGTGAAAACCTGCCCTTGTGGTTAGTAATTTTAAAAAACAGTTTTTAATGAGGTCTTACGACGGGAGCTTATCGCTTTTGAAGAGAATATACATCAAGGAAACAATGTCCTGTGACTCGGCCCAGAAATGTTACTAATTTAAGGTTGGAACTCGGTGAAATGCCAAACCACTTAGGAGACTTTTTCAAAACGACTCAGTGCTTAGAATACGTGTTCATGTGCTTCAACAAAGTTTTTCATTAGAAGCAGTCCATAAGTCTTACTGTTTCAAACGTTTTGCTCAACACTTTTGCTTAAAAATCTGTAGTTTAAAATTTGTTCATACATTAAAACTACAGATACTACATACAGTAGAATTGGGAACCTCCACAGAGAGCTCCTATTCCAATCTACTCACAAAAAACTCACAACCCTCGCATTAACAAAATTCTTTGTCTTAAACAAAAGTGTGGACTTTGCATGATAAGTACTGAAACGTTCTAAATATCAACATATCCTACGACGGTGCGTAAAATGCTTTAAATGTTTCGTTAGTGTATTTATTATCCCAATATTTTGATATCGCCTTGTAAAACCTTCGGGTCACCTTCATACTCTCAGTCCACTGGCGCCACTTTCATCAGGAATCAATGGAATGGAAACGCCGCCATTTCTAATGTAACCTAACTAGACGTCATCTTTAAGTCATCTACACCGGTTTTCCACGTAGTGTCACTTTAAGCTCGCTAGGCACGCGGAGCATCCTCAGGACCATTCATTCTAGGCTGCCTAAATCTCGAAGAACTAAGGTGATGATTTGTATCTACTGTGCACGCTCACTTGTATCTCAGCCCGCAACAGAGGACCTAGCCATTCAGCCAAGCATAAGGTAAATCGTCATCAGATTAACTGAGAGTAGAAGACCCCACCTATTGAATGCATTCTATGATAGAGGAACTGTTTCTCGAAACATACGACCGTAAAGAAATCGGCTGCGTCGGTGTTCTCATCAACATGAGTTTTGCCATGAACATTGATTTATTACAACAACTAATAAACATAATCAGATGTTTACGCTTGAAGAAATGTGGATCAATGCTGGCTTTCACAGTCTTCGTTCTCTATGCACCGACATCAAGCTATGACGAAGACGAACTCGAAGCGTGCTATACGGACTTGAAGACGTTCTATAGGGATGGCCGTGCATTCTTCGAGGTCACTATTGGAAATTTCAACGCTGATATTGGATCCAGAAGAGTGTTAGATCTGGGTGCAAGAATTTAGAGTATAACGAACAGAGCAAGCAGTCGCCTGCGTTTTTTTTGACGACTGAAACCGCTTATGGCAATAAGCAATTCCAGGAGAATCGCGCTTAATGTTGGGCGTAGGAATCTGTCAATAGAGCGCAAATTGATGGAATAGAGCGCATTACAGTAAATCGAAGATTTTGTAACGAAATAGTTAGCGGCGAAATCTAGCGGTTCAGATCGATATAGAATATTAGCCATGCGGGTCCTTTAGCTGTCGTATTGATCTACCAGCTTTAGACATGGGTAATTAAACCTTTAATACAAAAATACAACATTACTAAGTAGAGGAATGACACGAGTTAAAGCTCTGAGGTGCTAAGACTAGTAGTGAAGTGAGGCTAACAACGAGACAATGGAATTCGAACATTATTATACCATTAATACAATATTAACAGTAATAATGAATGATTACAAAGAAGTAACCGTTGGTTAGCCGTGAACGACGCCGTGCCGCGTCTATTCGCGGCCAGTGCGGCGGCTAAGGGAGACAATATGCTGGGGGAGGAGAAAGGAGACTGTATGCTGCGGAGAGGGAGACAGTATGCTGGAGCGGAGACGGTTACAGACTAGCAATGTTTTCGGCTGAGCTAAAATTTCAACATTATAGCGATGTGGTGCATTTTAGTGGATCGATGAGGACAGTAAGTTACATGAGCTATGGACAGCGAATGATGAGTCATCTACGGAATACAGTCAGGCGGCAGGTCGTGGATAAAGCTGTGTCAGCAACGTGAACTTTGAGCATCGATGGGTGCCACCATTGCCTAAAGGTCAGTACGATAAATAGCTGAAACTGATAAGTCTCTAGCGGCTTAACAGAATACATAGCATAAGTTGGCAGCTCAGCGGCCTTGTACGCATGGCGTACATTGTGGGAGGAATGGGACATGCCACCGATGGCGTTGCAAACAGAACGCATTTGGAAACGCCACTACTGACATCGCACCGTAGACAAGCTAAGAAACGGGATACAATAAGCTGCTGATTACTGAATGATGAATGTGAATGAATGTGAATGAATGTGAATGAACCAGAATGAATGAGTATGACTAAGAATGAGTTGAGGTGGTCGAGGATGACCAGGAATGATATTGTGAGGAGCGGATTATCCGCGCTACCGACCCGGGCTAAGGTGAGTGACGGCATGTCTCCGCCATTGAAGGCACCTGGCTTTTCTTGGTTGCGGGAGCCGCGTGCGCATGCAACGGCGGCTAATCTGGATTGTTGATCCTGGACCGCAGTAGACTGTACCTAATTGCCTGAAACATCAAACGTCATTAGCTTCGTTGTTTCGCAAAGAAGTAGTAAACCAGTAGAAGTAGTTCCACTGCTACGCCTCCTTCGCATAAGTCGCCGTTGGTGGCTCGTCGTTTAGTGGCTGCTTTTTTCGGGATATTAAACGTACAGCAGGAAGACCAATGACTCTATGGTCAGAGTTTTTCATAAAAAGCCTAGAAGAAAGATATGAAGCTCGACGAGCTCCTAGAGAGAACGGACCCTTCTGAGCTACTCTTGCACGAGACAAGAAAAAATGGAAGATTTGCTGGCCTCCGCTCGAGCCACTCGACGACCAACGGGACTACAGGTGACTGTGTTAATTCACTGTTACTGAAGCTGAAAACAGCGCTTAAGAATGTCATTACATTCTCCCGCGTTAAGGCAAGGTCTTCTTTCCGAAATAGAAAGTTCTCAAATCTTCAAAACTCCAACTAGCAAATACTTCCGTATATTGTCGAAAAAGCAACACTATCCAACTCTAGTAGTGTTTTAGTCCGCCTTAGTTTGGCTGTTTGTACACCAGAGATGAAATTCTTTGCCATCGTGCGCAGCAACCGCGCAAATTTGAGCGTCGGGTATTGCGTGTTGAAAGGCAGTTGTGAAGAATCCTATATGGTAAGCTAACGAAGTTACACAGAGAATAAATAGTGTATGGAGAGCGGAGAACGGAACGGTAAAGCAAGGGCCTCAGTGGTGCCGCGCGTAACACGTGAGCACCAGGAAAGGCTAGTCGCGGGTTCGAATCTGGCCCTGGGATGAAAGTTTTTCAAATATCTCACAATCATGGTGGTTGTAGTATTTCACACAAAAACCCTTCCATGAAAAATAATGGTAGGCAGTAAATAAAAAGTTAACATTGTAGAAATTACTTTCAAAACACCTGTGAAAGCCGAATTATAAAGCGAAGAATGACAATAAAAAGGAAGATAGTGTTTCTTTGGTGGAGTGGAGTCAGTGGCCGCTATGACGAACACATATGTCGCAGCAAGTGCGGCAAAAATTAGACCTCGTTCCATGTGTCACCCATGCAAGGATTTGGGTTCGTTGAATGAGTGCCGACGACCATTTTAGTATACCCTACTTTTGCACAACATCGATTTGTCAACGCAGAAGGATAAACGATAGTTCCTTTCGAAAGCTACTGTTGAAAACTGTTGAATGAGTTTTCCAAGTGGAATTTCAGATAAGAAACACGTTATTAATAAGATCGCTATAATTTTAAAGTCTCATAACGATCGCTTGCTAAACCTGCTCACGCCCACAATATCTACGCATAATTTATCAAGAGTCGTGTTTGAAAATGCTGAGAAGTAGTAGCTATGGCCAATGCCGTTTTCATTTCAGCTCATAAACAAAATGACGAAGAAGCAACCACGATGGGTGTTCAGACGATGGTCGAAGTACAACAACCGAAGCACAATGGAGATCATCAGCGAACTGCGTCGAATTAGGAGAATCACTAAGTTCAACTCGACCGCAAAAGCCAAGGTACTGAACTGCACCGATTTTTGGGACAATTAGTGGCTTTGGATGCCAAATAGATTTTTTGAATGTAGAAAAATTCTTTTGGATGTTTAATACTGCATTTTTATTATGATGATTTCTTGAAGGCTCAAAACAAAATGATATCTAAATTATAGAAAATTTTGGAATTTTACGAGAAACTAACTAAGAAGTGGTGAAAACGTCCGTCATATTTGCATGGAAATCGGCCTTAATTATTGGATGTCCTTTCCGAAAAAAATTTTTTATCAACTAATTAACACTGCGTGCACAAACAAACTTTTCATAGCGTTTTTACTTGTTGCCTGGATATTTAGATGTTGGGTGGCTATTTGCTTTACAATTGGCTACAGAACGCTGAGAAAGTTGCCAACGGTACGATGACAGATCCGGAAACGATGCTACTCTATTCGGCGGTGCGATTTGTGAAACACATATTTTCACGTTCCTTTTGTTTTTGAAAAGCATAGGTCGTTTCAGTAAAACTGACAGATAATATGACTTGTCGAAAAAGTAATCTATAAGCTATTAACAGCACCACGGCACGCTACTCGCCTTAATGTATGCTATGGGGGTTGCTAATGAACAGCTAATACCTTATGCTTCGTCGTTTATCATGGAAATCTACGAGGATGGAAAGGACTTTGAGGTTGAGGTGAGCAACTGGAAATACGGGAAATACTCACAAAAGGTTGCAGATTTGCATGCATTCATAAACGTCATCTAACTAGACTGGTTTCCTTTTTCAGAAAAGAAAAAAAGGTATCCATATCGCCACATATATGCGGATTTTTTTTATACACATGTGTTTAATACATCGTTTAGAACATAGATCTACTTTCGACCCAGAGCCAGAGCTCACTAAGCCATTTATCTCACCTGGGTCCGCAAATTGATATCAGAGTTCTCTGCTAAGATGGAAGAATTAATCTGATACAGCGGTAGGCTTCCGTAAGTCATTGTAGAGGTCCGATGTGCATTCGATCACCTCTCCAATATTCGATTGAGTCATGACGAAACCCTTAAAAAACGATCAACGCCGCAAACTTTATTTAACCTTTAAGAAACCTATTCACTATGTAGTTAACGAAGAAAATACTACAAGAATGTGCTGTTTCAGCTGCTATTCCGTAATACCACAACAAAACCACCACACCCGCTCAAGATCAAAGGTTGCCGCTCACCGTGTACTGTGCAGAAGTTGGCAGAGACATACCGTAACATGTTGCTAAAAAGCTACGATGAGCAGCAAGCGGTACGTTCATTAAAAAGAGAATTACATACTATTTAAACACTTCACCTTTTTAATTTACTGCCTATTCTTTTCAACAGCAGGGCATTTTGCGAAGTATAACTAATATAATGGTGAGATATTTACAAAACTCCGGACCGCAGGTGTATGCGGTGGTGAACCAACACGCGCTGTTATCCTTTCCGAGGAGTAACACGTTCACCACTACTCCATGCGGATCATTCGTTTCGCCTGTCTCTCAGCTAGTTCTATCGATCACAGCCATCAGCAGTCACCCGTCAACGGGGTTGATCTGAGGAGGCCAAATCGGCATTGAACCCAGTTAAGCTGAGGCTATAGTTGTAATCACAATCTTAACCCTTTTTATTTACTGCCTGTTGTTTTTAACGGCAGGGTATTTTGCGAAATATAACTACTATAATACTGAGATATGATTAGTTAGATTAAGGATTAAGGTTAAGGCTGCTGTTACATATGATACGTCCAGGCTCTGAGAAAAGCCATGGCGCCGAAACGTCAGCCATTGTTGAGCAAATGCAGCAACAACAATAAGAATATTTGCACCAACTTCGCGTCGGCTAAAAAAGGGTACTTCGTAAACACATATGTACAGATATACCACCATATTATTTACATGCAAAATCAACTGTGTCACCTATGTCGTCTCGTTGTTCGCCGAGTAGCCCGAGCGAGCGCCAGTCAATCTTCGATTTTTCGCTATCGTGTGCAAAAGTATCTCAGGAGAAGATTATTTGTTAGGTGCGACTACTACCCGCCTGCCATACGCTCCCAATAACTTGAATGCCGGCTCTTAACAGAGTTGACTCGTAGTAGAATACAAAGTTCATAAACAAGAACACATCCATGCACTCATAAGCATTATACGTCACCGTAAACACTGACGGTGTGTGCCAAATCAGCGCGGCAGAAACCGGTAGCCCATGCCCCGGATCCACCTGCGCCGCAGGGAAATACAAGGTCGTTTTTGATCCGTGATCTATAACAGATTCCTCTATGGGGGAGATCCGTAGCACATGTTAAGTAGAACTCGGAGAATGTCTCTGTTCTTCGTCGTAGCTCAATCTGCAAGAAATCGCTATCCGTTGTGAGCAGAAACCATTTTTCGCCACTTATTATAATCATATCGGGAATCCGTTTCTAGGCTACGCATCTTAATCTTTCTAATCTAGGTCTTGGTACTGCCAAAATGTCATTTAACAGCTCATTATCAGGCATTTGGAAAGCGGATTATTCTTTTTAACTCTTTCATGATTAAATTTTATAAACGACTAGTTTGAGATTGCTCTCTTCATTTTTGCCCAATAACAAAAGGCTCGGGGCGGATAGCACAATGGTAGTGATGTCCGTTACCACGAGCATGGTGCAAGTTCGATTCCGCTGCGGGCCAACGAAGCCTGTCATTCCTCCGGAGTCTTGAAATTGGTGCCGGACTAGTCTGGAAAAAAATATCACTCTCTGCAATCTAATTGTGAACGCTCCAGCCCGACTATCTCGGGACTCCAGGGAGAATCGACGTGATTAGCATTCATAAAAAATACGGCATTCAAGATGAATTGAAAATCTTCAACCGGCAACCGAAGCCACACGTAAAAGTTGCAAGATTTTCGTGGACAGTGGATGAGAGGAAACGAACCGAATATGAGGAGTGCTGGGATCCGCACAGTTAATGTGAAAACGGATTGTATGAAATGAAAGAAAAAAATAAAACGCTTAACTATAATACACACCAACGCAGAAACGGTGAACATTCGTGCACAATTATTACGGAATTTTTCTGCATATAATGATAAATAAAATAAAATGAAACACTTCAAAAACCTCATTTGAGAACGAGTTTTAGGAAAATTATGTAGTTAGCAATGGCCTGACGGTTGGAGAATTTGACCGTGTTGAGTGTGGGAGAAGAAGTCAACAAATGTTGCTGTGTAAATATGATAATGGACATTTAATTTCTGAAAAAAAAAACCAGTAGTATTCACATCGTTTCATCAATTGCTCTCCGATTTTTTAGTTGTGTGGGACGCCAGTCAAAAAGTGTAACGGCTCGTCGACGATTCCTTAACTTTTAGCGGTTTCACTGCTATATACAAGCTATGTATCGCTTTTTTGAATAAACAGTTCATACTTTGCTTGAAAGCAGAATTGTCTCATCTCGGAGTTCTTTTATGCAAAGGATCATAGATAAAAGAATGGGCTAACCGTGAAGTGTTTCCTCAAGGCAAGGGGTATTGTATAGGTCAATACTTAGCTTGCTATACTCAGGAAACGGTGCTATCAACGTGGACGATAATCTGAGGGAAAATTCATTGGAAGACAACGAGAAGCGTAGACCTGGCTTGCAACATGCCTTAAACAGAGGTTACTGATATCGACCTACTTCCTCACATAGCTGACTCAACAGTTCTGCGATAAACAAGGAAAACATGAAACGTCGGATCACTGAATCTTATAACATGCGTATGAAAACAGCTTCAACGATGACGTTAACGAAGACAAGAGTTTCACAGCCAGAACCAGCTCTGTCCAAGTTTTCACACACATTGCACTGAAAAGAAATAAAAAAGTGATCACAAAGAAGGAAACAAAGGTAATCGCATTTTAAGCACAGCGAGACTCTCTTAACCACAGAAAACCTACCGTGGAAAAAAGGGAGTTTTGTCGTTGTCAACGACTTGAAAAAGTCAAAACTAGAATTTGTGAACAGGCAAGGTATTCACTTTCACCTCAACAACCATAACCATGTTTTCAGTGAGAAAAAGAATTTAATATCTCACCGAGATTTTTCGGTTTTCTCACCTGTGTCACATGTAGTGCCGTTGATCGTCGAGTGACTCGAGCGTGCGCCAGTAAATCTTCCATTTTTCCCTTTCGCATGCAAGAGTAGCCCAGTGGGTTCTGCTCAATCTAGGGACTCGCCGAGCATTATATCTTCCTCCAAGGCTCTTTGTGAAGAACTCTGACCATCGCGTCGGTGGTCTTCCTGCAGTACGTTTGACATTCCGAGGAATCCAGTCACTAACGGCTCTTGTCCATCGGTTGTCATTCATACGCATTATGTGTCCAGCCCACCTTATCTTCGACTGTTTGACGTACAAAACAGCATCTTTGATTTTTGATTGTTGACGCAAATCGGAGCTTCGGATCCTATCCCTTACTTGTGCGGAACGGGATACTCCTGGCATCGTCCTTTTAACTGCGCGTTCGATAACGCTGAGTGACCTTTCATCCTGCTTACGCAGCGACCACGTTTCTGACGCATACGCTGGGGCAGAAAGTACCGTTGAGTCGAAAAGATGGGCACGGACTCGGGTGTTCTTTGTTCTCTTCACTACACCCTCGATGCTCTTGAAAGCTCAACAAGACGCTCGTTTCCTTCTGCTCAGCTCTGGCGCTAGGTCGTTCGTCATATTGATTTACCGAATTAGATAGATATAACGGGAGCCTTCGGCGATATTCGTTCCGTTGAGTGTAAATGGCGCATGCGAAACCAATCCGTTCTTTATGAACACCCTTTTTGTGAGATTTAGTCGAAGACCAATCTTTCTACAGGCTTTATCAAAGTCGTCAAGCATACGTTCCTCTTGGCTAATGTTTGGTGTTATAATGACGACATCATTAGCAAAGCGAAGATGGTGTAACTGCCGAACGTCGATTTTCTCTCCCATATTATCCCAATGAAGTGTTCGCATGCGGGTCTGGAAAGTGGTGGTAAATAATTTTGATGAGATGTCATCGCCTAGGATAAACCCTCTTCTGACGTAGGTTTTAATATCGTTGTAGAATGGTGATGTCTTGGTTTTGAAATTTTTGTACAGCTAACGAAGAATCTTTATCTACTGAGTAGGGGCTCCTTGACTATCAAGGGTTTCCAAGACTGCTTCTATCTCAACTGAATCAAAGGCCTTCTGTAAATCGATGAAAGTGAGACAGAGCGGTCTTTTGTACTCCCGCGATTCTTCAATGAGCCGTGTTACCGTGTGGATGTGATCCATCGTACTAAATCTTCTTCAAAACCCTGCTTGCTCACATGGCTGCCCTTCGTCCAGTGTTCTGTTAGTCCTATTAAGAATTACTCGAGCGAAAAGTTTGTAGACGACAGACAGCAGGCAGATTGGGAGGTAGTTGCCGATATAGTAGTGTCATTCTTTTTGAAGAATAACACAACCTTGCCGATTCCCCAATAAATAAGAACCTTTCAATCTAAAAGGTTTGTTCTGAAGATCCGAGCCACCGTCTGGATGAGGACTAGCGGAAGGTTCTTCAAATGTTCAGATCTTATCAGCCTGGAATTTCTGTTCTTTGATTCTTCATCGACGAAATAGCGTGTTGGATTTTCTAAGGAAAACCCATGGCACAATATATTCATTTTCGTTTATTTAATATGAAGACAGAAAGACTTGGCTATTGATGAGATTCGAGTATTAGTAGTGAGTGATTTTCTCCAATGCTTTTCTGGAAGGTGTAGCTATTCCGTCTAGGAGTAGGAGTGCAATCATCCTAGTTTTGTACTTGGTGAAGCTTCAGTGGGCCTTTGTAGCTTAACTCGGAGTCGGAGAAAACGAAAACCTTCTATTTAAAATGATGTGGCCAATTTCGTTATATTACTCTCCATTGAGGGACTCCCACGTCCACTTTTGAGAGTGGGGTTCCTGGGATTGATTATTACTGTGAATGGTCTTGCTCATCATGATAAATTCAGACGGCCGCTCACCCTGCTCGTTCCATTCTAATCCGTAGATCTCAGTGTGGTGTTCTTCAGACGTTCTTCTTGGTCCAGTCTTAGCGTTAAAATCTCGAATGTATGATCTTCTCTGTAGAAGTTTTCTAAGTCCATAGAACGCTTCGACTTTGTCTTCGTTATAGCTTGATGTCAGTGCGTAAATGACGAAGATTGTTAAAGCCGGTGATGATCTACATCCCTTCAATAGTACACTTGCGATTCGAATTGTTAGTTTTTTAATGAGTCGATGATCAAGGCCAAACTCGATTTGATCAGAACGCCGACGCCGCCGACTCCTTTGCTGTCGCATGTTCCGAGGAACAGTTTTTCTTATCCTTTGTCATAAAGATTGTCGAATAAGTGGTGTTTTCTTCTCTCAGCACTTCCGATGACGTCGTAGCTTGTTCTTCTTGCCTGCATGATCAGGTCCTAAAACCAGCACTCAGATGGGAATGTGTGTTCATTGCTGGTTCACACCGTCATCTTAGTTAGTCCTTTGTGATTTAGGCAGTCTACAAAGTCCCTGTGATCTCAGCAGCTTATCCGTCCCGTCAACGTTAACGTATCGTGAGCTCTTTCGGTGTCAGGAAAATGAGGTCTGTTTATTTCACTCTGCTTTGTGTTTGTTACCCACATATGGCTTGCTATCCTTTCTAGAGAAGACTGGAGAGCATAGTTGTTGAGGGCGACCCCTTACCGCCTCCTTTGTGTTCCCTGTCATCTGGTTGCAGGCTTTTGGACGAATTAACTCAAAGAGTACAGTTTGAACATCTGAATGAAAGCCCAACTTCGTATCGATGTGTTAACTTGCAAGTACGTTTTAGTCCATCTTTTGTTGCACTACTTGTAATATCCTATGGCGTCCCACCACTGTTTAAAATGTATGACTGCACTTCAGGGTAACTCTCACGCGACCAAAGGTTATTTCATGTCAAAAACTAGTGCCACAACCTCCCTTCACATATGGTTACCAACGAAACACACACATCCTCGGAGCGACTCGAACTAACGATTTGGCAACGCTTTCCTCATGCCAGTTGTGAGATTTCCTTCATAGTTGGACGAAAAGATAGTACGGTGATTAACAACCTGATCTATAGATTCTCCACTGCTTTTAACTTCGCTCAAAGAAAGATAAGATTTCGAAACAAATTAACGAAACAAACAGGCACATGCTCCACAGCTAGTATTTGTGCAGCATTTTACTTTATTTCTTGTATGTATCGAACACCAAGAACAAAGCGCGTGCGTGTCGCGCAGTGGTCAGAGGCGCCCTGCAACACACATGGGATTGTTTCCCGCGCCCTTGGCTCATCAAACATTTCACCGCTGCAGGTTTGGCAATTTGGTACCATACTGGTCTTCAAAGATAACAGCACTGGCTTGATAAATCGGTAGGTCACCGTGGGCCATTATAAAGGCCAAATATGCATTCAATCACATCCAGACGTTGCTTAATGGAATCGAATGCATGGCCTATCCCTAAGAGATTGATCAACGCTGACAGCTCTATTGTTTTT